CAGGTTAATAACCGATAGGCAATCACCGTCTTAATCAACTCGCGCCCAGTGAATTTCTTCATCAGAATTCGGCACGAGCTCTCGCGGTTAAAGAGTTTCAGCTATTTAGAGAACCCGCGTAGTTTAAGTGCAACAAAGCCATGGATAGATGGATAGATAAATAGGTAGATAGTTGAATAAAACATTGCGACCAGTAGCTCTATTGAGCCTACAGCTCATCACAGTACCTCACCAACCCTAGATACTCTAGAAATTTCAGAATTGATCACGGGGGTAAATAGTGTATGAGGTCCTCACTTGGTCATAAATGTCCTACGCTTCTCTCCCTTCTACGTGGGACGTCCTCACACTCCAGAGAGGTACAATCTAGTCCACCTGGCAGCGTCACAGCAGCGACTGCGGTCACTAGACTAGATTCCCAAATTACACAAGTGCCCTCTTAGCGTGCAGTGGCCCGTCAAAATAACTGTAACGGTCCTTAGTTTCTCGTAAGGGAGGCCTATGGATATACTGTATTTTTTTAGATTGTACCCTCCTTGTAAGCTTTGGGTTGTGTAATGTTGTCTTTTCCGGGTAGGTTTGCTTGTAGCGAAGCTGTGCATGCTAGTTTTAACCGGGACTTAAGCTCGTCGGATTGGCGTGGTTCTTGCTCCCTACTTCATTGCAAATCCGGAACAATACAAAAAAAATCATGCACGTCTTTTTTTTTTTTTATACGGACGACAGAAAGTACTCCAACAAATTTATTTCCCTAAGTACACCTTAATGAATGACAGACGGACGATAAAGTAGAAGGAAACTCATATTTCGCACCCCGAGAAGCCATATATCCGCTTCTCTTCTCTTCCCTACCCAACCATCGAGAGATACTCTGTCGTATCGCCAATCCCAACCAAAGTCCACAGGCCTATGACATCATTGACTCACTTTAAAATATATCTAACACTTCATGTTTAATAATACATACAATTCATTTATTTATTAGCAATCTATAATTACAAACTTTTCCTAATACTAACGTTTTCCTTTCTTAATGTATCTACTTAACATCTTTTTCTTAATGTCTATTCCTCTTGAAAATTATATATACATATATAATTTTATTTTTATTTATTTATTCTTTAATTATTATCAGTATTATTTTTTTTTTTTTTTTTTTTTTAAACTCTAAAATAAATTCTTTACTGTATTTCAAGGAACACCCTAGAGTATGCTTTTCAGATATCTTCCTTCCATATTCTAATTTATCATAAATCCCACTAACAAAATATAATAATGCTCTGGTAAAGGCATTAACATATATGTACGTATGTACGTATTCAAAAAATTAACAAAACAATAAATACCGAAACCCCAAAGAGTGTGAAGAGATCAGAATCCAACCGAAACAAAGAGCATAAACTGAATCAATGCTTTAAACCAAACATTGTTTTTGGATCGTGGTCTCTTCTGTTATACATAAGAACAATATTGTGTTATAAAAATATAAAGAGTGGTAATTAAGAGCACTTACATGATTCCGAGCGATGACAGCAGGCGCCTGATGAGATGATCGGTGTACCATAGAGTCGGCTTCTCTTAAAATGTGCAATGTGCAATATTGTTCGATACGTATATGCAAGCTTTATAGAGTTAATGAGCTAATGATGCTAATTAGGTCAATTCGCGTACACACGATACTGTTAGGAATTCTCACACGCCAGTGGCAATGACAAGATTTCTTACCAAAAGGGGTGCAGGGTTAACGTGAAATCATTTCTGTCTCTCCAGAACATTATTATTTTCTCCCCTTTTTTTTTTTTTTTTTTTTTTTGGGTAAGTAGGAGATCTAAACAATTTAAATTTATATTATAAAACTACATATCTAACCAAATTGACATAAATAAATCTATTTATTCGAGGAATTTATTTGGAGCACTGTATGCTAGAAATATGTTTCTTGTCAACAAAATTACTATCAGCTTCTTGTTGTTGTAATATTGGGTATATATATATAAAAAAAAATCCAATGCACTGTTTTGCTCTATTCTCCTAGTGTTATTTAAACGTCTTTAATTCAAGAAAACACTGCTCGCTTAATGTTAGTGGTACCCCAGTACAACATGGGTATTCCTATGTACCTACTTATGTAGTGCATAAAACTAATACCGCATGGTCCAGGGTGCTGCACCGGACCTGGTGAGGTTACGTTGAGTCGCGCGGGGTCCACGAGGTTTCGGGAACAAGTTCAGTTCCCGCTTGTGTCCTTTTCGTTAATGTGGATACTTAGGTACTCCCACGCAGAGTCAGATAATTATTATTTTCAATATTTTTGGCTGTCCCGGCGATGTATCGTTGAAAAAGACCGTATTGAAGCCTGATCAACCCACTTATTGGGCCTTCAAATGACCAGCAGCTCTTTCTTATACGTTTTAAGAACTCAGAAAATTATTAAAATAAATACTTTATGATATTTATATATATGTATATATTTTTTTTTCGCGAATCACGTGTTGACTCTTACTAAACTTTTTCCTTAGCGAACGTCTAGTTCGTGCAAGTGATGATCAGCAAAAGATCTCTCTAGCGGATGTTGCTTCTGACCTCCTTTTCTCAACCGTTCCGCCCTATTGACAGGTCCCTTTTGGGATTAACCCTCAATCTATTACTCAAATGACAGGTGTTTACAGGGTGAGCAAAAGCCAACAAAATCGAAAAAAAGTACTAAATTGATTACCAGCAATTGTAGAGATTTACGAAAATTATTTAAATAACACATAAAATTAAAAGGGAAGAAAGATTTTAGCGAATTCTTGAAATAGAATATGAAATGTAGTGATGTATTTATATTATATTTGTGAATAATGGAACTGATGGAAATTCGCGCTCACAGTTGACGAAGTCCCAAAATAAAGCTCCCAGAAAATCAATATACGAAACTAGGGGGCCAAATATAGTAATACTGCTACATGTTTTTTAAAAGACTTTGAAATTTTGAGGATCTGATTAATGAAAGAAATTCAGTGCAATGTCGAATAACAAAACGGGTATCAAATAAAAGAGAACATTGCGTAAAATTTAAAAACATTAATTTTTTTTGTTGTACAAGGACGAATAGAGGTATTAAAATTGTGATTAGCAATCAGCAGGGACCGAACATAAAAGTTATTGATAAAAACTGTCATGGAAAAATTCACTATGAAGGAAATGTTCTACAACTAAGTGATACATTCCAAACAATTTCTTTTTTCACCGAGACTCAAATATGAAAATAAATTTGTATTTGCAATTTTTATGCAAAATTAAAAAAAAATAACAACTGCTTTTGATTGTTATATTATATGTCTTAGATAACAGTTATTGAAGACTTTTATTTATAAAAGCCATCAATAAAAATCCGTCAGTGACTTTTACTTTTAAAAGTCATCAATATAAATCAGTAATCGACTTTTATTTTTTAAATAATTCGTATAAAAGTCATTAATATTTTTCGCAGTTAGGAAGGTGTTGGGAAACAAAAGTTTACTGCGACTTATACAAATGACTTTTATAAGTATGGTTTAAAAAATAAAGGTCAGTAACTGATTTTTATTTACGACTTTTATAAATAAATGTCTTCGATAACCATTATCTAAGATATGTAATTCAAAAATCAAAAATATCTTATTTACAGGTTGTTTAAGGAATAATTAAATAAAAGTCAAAAAATAATTGTTAAAGAGCGATTTTTTTTATAAAATTTGTTACTGTTACGGTCTCTGGTTATCAGTTTAACATTGTTAGTTTAGGAAATTGTTAAAAGGGACATTTTCAATACCTATTTGTCCTAGTTGACCAAAAATATTAAATGTTTTAAATTCTACAAAATTTTCCGTTTACTTGATATTCATAGTGTTGTTCTACATAATGTCATAAATTTAAGTGGTTTCATTGCCATGCACCCAACTCTAGAGTAAACTTTGATGACTGTAGTCAGGGTCCCAATATTACCAGAGTGTCGGTTATAGTGGAGCCGCGTAGTTGCAGCACACTTTCCGGCGCAAGAGAGCGCTCAGAGATCACAGAAGAAGAGGTGATAAGCACGTTCGAGTGGATCACTAAGAATAAAAATAGAAAGAAAATATCTACATATATATATAATATATTCCATGCCTTTATCAGACAGCGTGCTCTTCTCACACAGATGCAAAAATAAAGACTCTAATTTTCTGCAGAAGTCGAGTAATCTGGCTGGTCAGGAATCAGCCTATAAGTGCATAGCTCTCTTTGTATGCTTGGCTTAGAGAAAGAGATATCGAGGGCTTTGTATCTCACCACACCGGAAAATTATCTAGAGACTAAATGGACTATTCAGAATGTACGATGTGCCAATTCGGACACCTAAAAAAAAAAAATTGACATTAAACAAGCACTAGAAAGTTGCTCACAGAAGCAAAATACTGAAAATCGCGCTGGTTACCTCTTACTTACTCCAAGTGGGCAACGCATTATTTCGTAATTCAAAATTAAGTACCAAGAGGAACTCATACACTCTAAGATAGCATTACAGCTTTAGTACGAACAGGTGTTAAAAAAGACTAGCCTAATTTTGCAATACAATAAAAAACACGTTAAACAATTCTTCTTACCAAAAATTAATTAGACAAAAATTATGAATTTTGAATAAATTAAGTCACACTTGCCCATTTAAGATATTCAATAGAAATTATGAAAATCACTAAAAGGTGGCAAGTTACATCGCAGCCACCTTAATCTCACAAACAGATATACTATTCTTGAAAATAAATTCATTTTCAATTTGACTAAAATGTAATATAAATAAAAGGTTTTGTTATTACAATCTTTTTTTCTTTCTGTGGTAGATCCCTCATTTCTAATTTCTAATTTCTTTTCTTTATTCCTTTTTTTCCATTTTAACAGGCCACAAAAGCACGTTTGGCATGGTTCACTACCCAACGGTGAGCGTTCAATTGATACATATTGTGACGCCTGGCACTCGGGCTCCAGAGATAAATTCGGTTATGCCAGTAATTTGCTGGGGAACAAATTGCTCGACCAGGAGCGCCAAACTTGCGATAGCAAATTAATTGTGCTGTGCGTGGAGGCGTTGTCGCAGGATAGAAGGCGAAAACGCGATATCAGCGACAGGTAAGCTATAAATACGCACATGCATATAAACTATACACAAGTGTATGTGCATAAGGGTGATCCAAAATTGCATGTGGGGAAGAGTAATGTCGGAATTTTATACTCTCGCCGCCTAGAATTGTTCAATATCGAAACAAATTTACCACTTGTTTTTTTCTTAATAAAAAAAATTATTATAAGTCGCAAAAAGCGCTCAAATTGCATTTTTTTTTGGGTTTTGGGGGACCCATAAAAAATCGTTATTATTAAAAAGATTTTAAATAAACAATTGGGTATTAATTTTCGAAATCTCTTGATTTGAAAAATATTTGTTTTAAAGTATTCTATACAGTTTCTAGGATAATTGTTTTTTTTTTTTCACATATAAAATCTATTGGAAACTTTGAGCGCTTTGAGCGACCTCTAAATATTTTTTGATTAACAAAAAACAACAAGATTCTATTTTTTGATATAGAATAATCCTAGGGTGAAAGCATTCAATTTCCGACCTTACTTTTTCTGTACCACCCTAAAGTGCATACATACCTTTAAACGGGATTTAGAATTTGATGCTCCATGGGGAGTGCGAAAAACGAAATGAAATTGCGTTGTGGTATTAATGAATGCAAATCACCAAAATGACAATGGCATACAATCAACACAACGCATTGGCGCTCAGGCGAGAGCAAATGTATGGAATTATATACATGCATATGTATGTATGTATGTTTGTGTATGAATGTTGAATGCATGTGTGGTTACATCATAATGAATTGAAAATATATTTGACTGTGCAAATATACCGAATTCTATTGAATACACATTTGTCCACAAGTTCATCAGGACATACGTCCCGCGCCATGTACACTCTACCTGTTCATTTTTCATACAAAAAATCCTTGCGCATTTCCATTTGACCACTCCTTCCCAATTATTTATCCATCGATTTTCTTCATTAGTAGCTAAATTTTTTTGTAAGAGAACATGCTCTAACACAAATAAAAAATTTGCACAGAAACTGGTACTTTTCATTTTTTTTCCTGCTAAATTTTGAACTTTCTAATCAAACAAAAAAATAAATAAAGCATAAAAAAACTGGAATGATTAATTAATTTCTCATAAACTACCAGGCTTATCGAAAAGTGATGTATATGGGGCGTTCCATACCAAAATGGACGGGGTTCACACTTCATGTGTTTGATTTGTTTCAAAATTTTAAGGTTGATGGATAAACATAAATAATAAATAAATCTGAAATTTGACCTTGATTAATGCATTTTTAAACATTGCAGCACAAAAACAAAAACAAATCGATTTAATACTTTTCCAAATATCTCGAGAACGGGGCGAGAAAAAATTTTGAAAAAAATCACGCATACACACATCAAAATTATCTATGAAAATTAGTATTTTTAAAATTTTTTTTCTTGAAAAATTTTTCACATACAAAGTTTTTGATAAAAAAAAAATTGTTTCTGAAAGATTAAGGTGGTAGCTCTGAGTATTGCGCAATATTTAAGTAGAGTATTATAGTGCGCACTATACAATGATTTGAGTTATGAATGTTTTTTACACCGTAGTTGAGTAAAATTAGTACAATACAAATTTACAAATTTAAATTTTTTTTTTTTTAGAATTTTTTTGAGAATGCAGTTTTGTAGCCAAAAAAAATCTAAAAGATCGTGCATTTTGTGGATATATAAATAATAGGGAGTTGCAATTTACAACTTAATACATCCCGGTTTATAACCTCTTTGTAAATTGTCTTTTCAGCGAACCTGTGTTCCATACGGCGGAAGCATATGCGCGCCACCTCAAAGAGGTGTTAACTTGAAATTCCGACTATCGCGCACATGTGCCACGTAAGCGTGCCGGACGAGGGCATTTGTTGTGGCTACAATCAGTACATCATCAACATCAACCAGTCAAAACTAAGCAACTCCAACAGCAACAAAAACAATAAAAAATAAAAAATAAAAAACATTTTAAATGCGAATTGTAAATCGAAAGGCGATGCCAAAATTCAAACACTTTGATTATATCCTTTTTTATGCAAATTTTTTTAAAAAGAGAGAAACTAACTAACTACTTAATTACGAACGAGTATTTTTTCCACGATTTTGTTCATTTTACTCCGACAAACTGTGAAAATATTTATGCAAACATACATACATACAAACATACATAGTTAATTGGAACACAACTACGTAACTAGTAAAGCAAACATACATACATAAGTATGTAACTAAATTCCCATCTATATGTGAGATTTTTTCATTGCATGTACTATACACATACATACATACTCTCGTGCATACATAGGAAGGTACTATTTATATGTAGTATAGCTATATTTAATGCATACGTGCATGTAGTTAATATACATATTTATTTTTGTTCTGTACTGTACTACTACATATACATACATATACATATGTATGTAAGTTAGTAATGTAAGTGTAAACGAAAATGAAATTGT